TGTACATATACATATATATATATATTTATAAATATGAATATAAATATATAATATATATATATATATATGTCTCTCTCTCTCTCTCTCTCCCTCTCTCTTCTTCGACACAGACTAGAGAGAGGCACGGATGCACCCCTCCAAGCGCGCGCACGCGCCCTGGTGGTCTCTGGTCTTCGCAAACACTACTTGTTGAGGCCACGGGGTTGACAGCTGTTGACCCCCTATACCTATATTGAACCGCGCGGCCTCGTCCAAACTAAGGCTCATACCGGCTCTGGATTGCAGACCCGCATTTTCACGGGAGTACAACTGTGCAGGTTCCGGCTTCCCCCAGGCAACACAGGCCATGCAGACTATATGGCAACTGAGCACACAACTGTGAACATGTAGCACGGTCCCATGCACACAGAGCAAAAATCTCTCTCTCTCTCTCTCTCTCTGTCTCTACCAGGCTTGAGGCTCGGGGTAGGTCAAAACCCCTCGCCTCGCACGCAGGATTTGAAACCTTCAGTGAATGATTATCCATGCGCTCCCTCCCTCTCTTTCTGTCTTTCCCCCGCTTCTTCAGCGCAGACAAGGGACCGCACGAACGCAACGACTTCTCTCTCGCTCGCTCTCGCTCTCTACAGCTCCGAGAGTTGATTGCGTCCACTTCCCTCAAGTTTCTAAACGAAACGTCGCGCCAGAACTTGTGCAGCAGCATTGTGATGGCTTTGTCCTGTCACACTAGGCTTATGAGATTTGTCTCCTGGAGAACGAGGAATTCTAGAGAACCAACTTTTGATTGAAAGTTGCGCAGATTGTGGGCGCACAGTCTCCGTAAAAACGCTCTCAAACTGTTTTGCCCCCGCAACGGTGTGTGTAAGATCTGAACGCAATTTTCCCAGATTTCCGAAGAAAAAGAACTTTCACAACCCCGATCCTGTATAAGCCTAAACCTAAAAAAGGAAAAAAAGAAACAGACCTTTTGCAGCAGGCTTCGCACTTCGCCTGGGTCGGACAGCACCCACCCAAGCAGTCTCAAAGACCGAAACCCTGAACCTGAACCCATACGGCCCCAAACCCGAAACCAGAGCAGCCCTTAAGCCCAAGGTGGGAGGAGAACAGGCAGGGGAGCTGGATGTGTAGCGAAGTACGTCAGAAGGCCTGAGGCAGCAACTATTTGGATTTCCCTCTTCTTCCTGGCACATCGCACTGGGCATCTTCAAGGAAGAGTCCGGCAGAAATTCTCTCCCGCTACCTGGGCCCATCGGACTTCTTGGTGGGCCGACCTGGCCATGCCCAGGTGCTCACATGTATGATCATATTACATCATGTTACCTTACTTTGTAGTAAACCTTCTTATATTATCATACTACGCGGTCTGCCAGCACTACTCGGTCTCCACAGGCCAGCGTGTCTTATGGAGATGGTGATCTTCCGGCCGCCACACTCCAGCAGCTCGCTCAAGTCGCAGGCAGCCTCGGATGCAGAGCAACACCGCAGGACCATACTATAATATACTATGCAATACCAACCATCATCCTATCTGCTCCCACCTAATACTCGGTAATACCCTACATCAGGCTTAAGGACAAAGCTGGGGTCCTCTGGAAAGCTTGGCTCCTGGCCTCAGCCTCCTCGGGAGTGGAGAAGGTCACGAAACCTTGGCGCACAGGGTGTGTTCTGTAGGGTAGTGCTCTAATTTTTACTGCGTTTAGGGTAGTATGGTTTAGTTATGGGTTCGGGTTCCAGGCGGAGCAAGTCCACAACATGTAAGACACGAGCCAAAGCCCTTGCAGGCACTGCCCTCACCTCAGCGGGCAAAGCCACCATCCCGGGACGCGACTTGCAGCAGAATCGACAAGGTGGGCAAGCCTGCTTCCCGCACGAGGTGGATGCGTTCGATCTTGCCCACGTGCTTTAGAGCAGCCTGTGATTATTAACATGTGTTACCTCGTCGCTTTGTGAGGAAGACCCCTGGACTGCTGTTCGGAGCTATGCTGAAAACAAGGCACCTCGATGCGCTTCTCCTCGATGTTCGCAGGCAGTCTCCCTCAGTACGGCTTACGCTCTCACAACTCGGACTTGCCAAATGAGGTCTCTCGGTGCGCAGCCAGTGGAGTTTAAGGATTGCAAGGTTCGAGGCTCAGGGTACTTCACCGACTCATGGTGCTCGGATCTGCACCGAGGAAGACCGTGTCCGGCTCGGGTGGGGGACCGTCATCCTCCGGCGTGCTTGCGGTGCTGCCACAGAGGTTCCAAGAAACCGTTTTGGGGGCTCAGAGCCGTGCCTCCATCGTGGCCGCGTCGCGCTTGACACCCCGCGACTCCTCTTCGCCCTGCTCTTCACCTCACGACCCCAGAGCCGAAAAAAATCGGCTCAGGTGCTTTCTGAAGCCTCTCAGGCCAGAGCTTGCAACCACGAAGGGGCTGGGCCTGGTTCAAAAAGGAGGGCAGAAAAAGACATGTTTTGGGCGGCGCGCCACTGGGCGGCTGGCGTCGTGTTTGCTGGACGCTGCTTTAGGGCCTCTCAGCTTCTTTTGCCGTCTATGCTGTCGGCAAAAGCAAATCACAAGCCATTGCAGGAGGGCGTGCCGTTTCCGGCATGGTAGCAGCTGGGCTCAGAGACAGGCCTCAATCGCCAGAACACCCGTGAGTGGCGACGAAGCCTAAAACAGCCTTTCCCAGAGGCTTTTGCCATGAAAGGCCGTGCGGGCCTTGCCCTTTGATGAAACCTGCGTGATAAGGAGACAGACCCGACAATGAAGGTCACTGGCGAGGTTGCATGTCGCCAGTTCCGCACCTTGCCCAGCGCGATGCATCGACAGACGTGCCCTGCTTTGGGGGTCTGAAACGGCCTCGACCGTGCACAAAGAAATGAATACCTTCAACACCACGGCACCCAAGCATCTGAGAGCGGAACGGGCGCTGGTAGAAGATGTCCATGCTTCCACACACCAGATATCTAGCGCAAGCAGCACGGCAGGATGTCATGGTTTGGCCATAAGCTTACAGACTGAAGACCCCATGCAATGAACAGGCACAGACGCACTGTGGGACCAAAAATCTCCGGGCAGCCTCGGCTCAAGCCTCAGCTCTCTGAACGAAATCAGAGCTGCTTGTCATGCATCCCTGTATAGATCGAAAGGTTCAAACAGGGAGTATTCTGGTCTGTGAGCTTCTGAGATGGGCATCGAGGATACTGCGACTTTTATCCTTCAACCGTCAAGGCTACCTACCATGAAGCTCAAGTAAGAAGTGGCCCAACACGATCGCGAACAGGGCCAATAAGCCTTTGCGGGGGCTGGTCTAGTGTCTGCGAGGTGCATGGTTCAAGCTCTACAACAGTTTGCTGGCTAGAAGCACGGAACCCTATTTCTAGAACTGACACCACCCCACATGCGACGCATCGGCCTATCATCCTATCCAGCGTGCCTCCCTGCCTCCTAAGCCTTAGCGCCTGCTGCTGTTTGTCTTCTTTTTCCCGGGCAGCGAAGTACACGGAACCAAGAAGACTAAGAACAACTGCACCTCCAAAACCACCTGCCCAACCCGCCTCAACTCGCCTGCCCAAGAGATGTGTGAAACGGCGAATTCAAAACCAGCAATGATGCCGGCAAAGGTCTGAGTGACGTTAACTCGTGGTGTCTCCAGCACAAAGAGTTCAGCCTCCCGTCGGTTTGGGCACTGGCCGCGGCACCATGAAGGATTTGCTCCGGGGGCGTGTTGGCCTCAGCCAGACGTGGGAGAGTTTCCTCAGCGGCTCGGACCTCAGCTTGGAAAGCTGGCATCACGGTTCCGGCAAGAGTCTACTGAAACAGCTGGAAACAGGACACCATTCAGTCAGAGAAGCAATGAAGAGGACCGTCGCAAAGGGTGTGTCTCTGTGTGTGCGGAGGGGCTTGGTATGGCTGCCGGCCCCAGGACGCCCCCATTCCCACCCTGCTCTGCATCTGCTTGGCCCGGCCTGTCGAAATCCTCAGCAAGAGGGGGCACTGGCGGCACTGGCAGCGCACCCAGTGTACCATGACATGCCTCGCTTGGTGAGCCCAGCGGTCGAATGAAGGTCCGCTGCAATAAAGCATCTGTCTTGGCATGCCCCTCGTGCACTGTATGTTGCTTTGCATGCTCCTGCACGGCCTCTCTGTACTGACAGGTCTCGGTTTGAGAAGGGACTGGAGCACTGTTCTGCAGTTTGACCTTCAGGTTCGAAATGGCACGTAGCCAGAGCTTGCGCTCACCTAGGCTCCTGGCCGAGAACTGATGGTCCTCGACTGAGAAACAGCTACAATTGATCCCAATCTTCTCACAGCAGATGGACCGGTCGGTCACGTAGATTTCTGCCAGCTTCTGCCGACAGCTTTCGTTCTCGTACAAGATGATTTTGGTGTGGTCCTGCTGTGTCTGCACATGCAACTCACAGTAGAGGACCGATGCTGTGAAGCAGTCATCAAAATGCACCAAGTATCCAGCCATCAAGCGCGAGTGGGTAGAAGGCACTGCGTCCAAAGGACGACAGGAGATTTGGAAGGGCGGGAAGAGCGTTTGGGTAACCAGGCGCATAGCACGAGAAATGTCAAGCACCCAGCGGGATCGAAGTTCCTCTGCTTCCCGCTCATTCTCTCCGCGAACCCCGAAGTAGTAGCAGGCCCCTTGGGCAAACAAGGACACCTTGAATATTTTGAAGTCCGCCACATTGAGCATGGGATAAGTACTTTGGAACTTGCAGTTGCGCACCAGTGTGAAAGGGGATAAGGATATGGCCATTTCTGCACCGTCCAGGTAAAACCTAAATCCATTGATGTGCAAGGAGACGTGCACAGGATCTACCCTTTCCTCGGTGGACAAGTGCCATAAGTCACCCTCTCGAATGGGCGCACCTCTGAGAGGCTGGTCTGCCAAGAGCGAATAGGACAAGCGCCCTTGAATTGGGTAGTTGTAGGAGATCACGTTGGTCTCAGGGGCTGGTTCTGGCTTCCGGGGCCCATGTGCGACCACTTCCCCTGCACGCTCGAGCTGCTCGTTCAGCCGGCTGGATCCACAAATGCAGCGACAAAGTGCGTGGGAGGTCATGTTCGACCATCTCTGCAACTCCACTGCTGCTGTTGCTCCAGCTACGAAAGTGTGTCGGTATCAACCCCGCGTGCTACGACTCGTCTCTTCTCTCAGGATCTTCTAGAATTCTAAGGTTCCATGAACTCTACGTGTCGCAAGCTGGTGCTCCTGCTCCAATCCTTCCAAGCCATGCCTGGGCCAAACAGCCACGGCTCGGCCCCCCTGATGAGACGAAACTCTGATTTCAGGTCTTGCTCCTGGTCGAAGCATGCAGCGAAAGCCTGGTCAAGTTGTCGAAACCTGCACAAGGAAAAGCTCGCACCGGCGGGCTGGCTGGGGAAGAGACGCTGCACAAAGCTCCGTGATGGCAGGGGAGCCCACCTGCAAGTCAAACTGGCACGCTGCTTGAGTAGGATCCCATCTCCCTGAAGCTCGTGGCCTGGTAGCTGGGAGAACAGGCTCCGAGCTGCAACGAAAGAGGCTCGAGTTGCTTTTCCGGGTTTTGAAGCACTCAGAACCCAGCAAAAGCTAGGTTAAGTCCTTTCCCCTGATCTTCATGTTAAGGTATGCTGCGAGGAGTCGTGGCTCATTGCCATAAGCCCCTGCTCAGGCCCGCGCCTGGTCCCACACCATCGACTGGCCTCGGAAAGCAAGACAGTGTTGTTGATCTACAGGTTCCTTGGTCTGGAAATGTGGTCACATGACGTCATGGGGACAGCAGCGGCAGATCTTGGTGCCCTTCAAGCCCACCCCAGGCCCAACGCTACTTGAGAGTGCATACTACCGCTACACCACGGGTGGAGGCTCTGCGAAGCTGAGCAAAGGGGATCGAACCTTCAATGATTGCAGGGATTGCTCTCAGAACGCCGACGTCCAACTGCTTTTTTCCAGCGATCCACACAAGGGGAGCAGGGAGGAGAGCAAGAGCTGAGCAAGTTTTCCTGCTCTCAGCTTTTCCGTCGCAGTGCCCAGGCGACCTGGTCAGCCCAGAACGGCAGAAAATCACAGAGGCCAAAGTGCCGCTAGACGCCGCTAGCCGCCTGGCGGCTCTTCGGCGCGGAACAGCGCCGCCAGAGGCTCCTCCAGCAAGGATCGATACCTCACAAGGCCCCACTCTCCGTTCTGGCCTAAGTAAGCCCTCTTGGGCCCCGGAAAAAACATCGCCAGGCTGCAGTGGGTACGAGGGCAGCCGCTCCTGAAAGGCATCGCCCAGGGACAAATTAAATGCCGCTTAAGATCGCCTCTACTGATCCACCTCAAAAAATGAGACAACCCTCCGAATTCATTCGAAGCTCGTAGACGTAGACGGCGCTGCCGTTTGGCTTCCAGGACATGGGACAGCGTAGAACATCTGTCAAGCCGAAGGTGAGGGCATGGGGCAGCATCTGCCTCATGGAGTACTGATCCGAGCGCACACGAAGTCACACAGGGCTTCAACCCTAGGAAGCTGGCGCCTGCCCCAAGAGGCCCCAAAAAAAAATTGACATCAGCCAGGGTCTTGGATGCTAAGGACTTGGACGGGCTGCAAGGTGGCCACGCGCTGCAGCAGCTTGCATTCATCGAGCTGCCTGAAGATCTCCATTTCTCGCAGCTAAGGAGAAGCAGGCTCCGGTGGTGCAGGCCTAGAAAGTGTGTCCATCACCACGGCAGGGAAACCTAAGTGTTGAAACAAGTCACGTTTCATTGTCAAACAAGAAGTGGACATGTTAGCACAGCTTCAGGCGAGTTGCACAATGAGCTGGTAAAGACTGCGGTGACATGGCACCAATCACGCCAGGTCTGCAGTATGTCCCCACGGATTAAGCAGAAACTTCGGCCGTCACGGAACCATGTGGCCCCCTCCTGAACGCAGCAGACATCTGCTCTAGTGGCTCCGTCGGCTCCGTGCAACGGCTCTAGACAAAAAGCGCACCTTCGTGTCCAGCCGTGTCCATTCCTTCAAGCAGCTTCCAGCCAGGAGCAGAGCCGCGTCGTGCCGCGCGGAGGCCAGTTCCACCCCGACGATGGAGGCCTGGAAGGCAGTCCGCACACTCCAAGGTCAAGCTTCCGCCACGGGAGCCCAAACGGCAGAAGCCAGCTCAATCCTGCCAAGATGCGGCCTGCGATTCCTGGAGCAGCGCCAGGGCACAGCGGCCCGCGCCACTGCCCAGTTCGGCTGCAGCCTCCCTTTCACCGAAGTCCTGGAGGCCGAGGCGCGCAGCGACTTGCGCCGCCCCCTCTGCAGTGATCTCCCCGTAGATGCCTAAAGAACACGCGGAACATCTCAAAACTTGCAAGGAACACAATGAACAGAAAAGCGAACTGCGCTGCGTGCTCAGCTGCTCCCTGGATGCAGCTCCATCTGCTGGAGTAAGGCTCCTGTGCTCTTGGCAGGCCCGAACCACACGTCCCTCTGCAGCTGTGGCGGCAGCACCTCGCAAGAAGGCAAACACACTGTTGCCCGCACTCACAACGACCACACCTCTGCGTAGATTCGCAGCGTTTCGCTCAGCTTGGCCATTGCGGCCGGTATCGGAAAGCATACCAATTGCTGTGAATGAATGCCGCTCAACACTGCTAGGTTCATGACAACGTATGTGACCCAACAGGCTTCATACAGGGAAGAAATGCTTACGCGGAACATGCATGTAGTCCAAAATCACCGAAGAAAAGACCACGGGGTATGTCAGGTATGGGGAGGGTGTCCAGAAGGCCTGAGAAACTGGAAAAGTGTCAAGCACACTCCGTTTACCGAAACCTTGCACAGTTTCAGTGGAAGCTTAGAAACCCTTGTGGAAATTTACTTGTTGAATACGACTTCGAATAATAAACAAAACACATTGTGTGCTATACTGCTACACGTGTGCAGTTTCTGAGGTCTGTTCGACGCCCCCTCCGCCTGTGAGAAACCACGCTAAGATGTAAAATGTCCATACAAGCAACAACACCCGAACAAAAACAGACATGCTGCAGATAGATAGCTGCAGATAGCTGATGATAGCTGTTGGCGACTCTGTCTTCTGTGGCACGATCCAATGTCATAATGATAGGTACACCCCGGCGCGACGGCACACAGTAGCGCATCGGTCGTTGAGCAGCTAAGCTCCTACATCGGCACAACTGTAAAAGCTAGAGCCACAAGCAATGACACACATGTCAGCAAGCAGAAAACCCAACCCTAAACCCTAAACCTTATACCCCTACACCCTAAACTCCTAAATCCTTTTTGCTGCAGGCTTGCCTGAGTTCCCCCCTTTTTTTTGCTGCGCAGCACCGGGTTGTTCGAAGCCCAGGCCCGATCTTCCGGAGCCTCGGCCAGCGCACTCTGCAGCCACCTGCCACTCAAAGTCTGAAGAGCGAGATGGATACATACTTTATACAGCCAACCATACACCCGCAACGAAAGCTTGCTGTAGCAGTGGCTTGGCTGACGTTGGACTTTTCCTCGCTTGGAACCGGGAGCCCAGGTTCGCCCCTGAGCCACTGAGTGGCTGGCGAGCCAGGAGGACTCCAGGATCACCGCTTCGAATGTGTTGCTGATTCTGATTGCTTCCCTTTGGCCTTCTGGCCTTTTTCTCCCAACCCCCGTTGCCTGGCAACATCTGTTTGCCACAGCTGCGGCATCTCGGGGGTCGCCTCTGCCAGCTTGCTCCGAAGCTCCTCCAGCGCGGTTTGTTGCATGCCAGGACCACAGAATGCCCACACCTCGAGCTGCACGTTGGCAGCGCTGCGGTAGAAGTGAGCCCAGCCTTGCGTGCGAAGCTGGAAGTGCAAGCAAAAGCCTGGAACCAAGCATCCCTCCCAAACGCCTTTAGCCCCAACCCGGAGCCAAGCTTGGGTCAAGCCCAAATCGGCAAACTCATTCTCAACTGAACGCAAGGACGGCGATGCTGTGCAACCACAGCTAGATGATGTTCTGAGCGGCCTGGAAAAGAGACGCGATCGACCTCCACATCGACGAGAAAAGGCGTTTCCTGGCTCATGCTTGCAGCACAAAGCAAGCCGTGGCCCAACAATCCAGATTCGGAGATGCGAGATGCAAGGTTTTGACTCTCAGGGCTCGCACGAGGCCGGAAAAGCAGGGTTTGGTGGCTCTGCACGTCGGGAGACACTTTTTCCGTACTGCGAGCAGCTCACTTGTCAAAGCTAGTTTAAGGTTGCAAGGCTAGCGATTGGCTCTACATACTGCACCTACTCCGCTGGCACTTCCTCGAGCGGCGCTTCCTTCACAGCCGTTTCCTGGGAAGTCGTTTCCTGAGGCCCCGTGTGCTCAACCGGAGCGCTTTCCTGTGGAGCCGTTTCCTGGGTAGCCGATTCCTGATAATGCAGTTGCTGGAACGAGGTCTCCTGCACGCCAAACTGCCCCTCGGGCATCGACTGCACCATGCACACCATGGGCATCATCGACATCTGACTGTCCGCATATGGGGCCTCGGCTGTGGAAGCAAACTCAGGATGCCCCCCCCCCCGGTAGTCTTGAATGCAAAAACTGGAAAAAGCGTATCAGACCGAAGCACCATGACAGGAGTCATAACGTTGGTCGACGGATCGTACATCACCATCTGCATGGTGCTGCTTGCATCAGGAGTGTGCACCACCTTTTGAGCTTGTTCCCGGATATCCGACTCAAGGTTTGCCACGGCTTGCTCCAGCTTCAGCTGCCTCGTCGACAACCTGACTGTCAGCAACTGGCGGCTGTGAGTGACAAGCTGCAGCCTGCCATAGCTGAGAACATCACTCTTCAAGGAAAGCGTAGATCTTGTTGAATTTCCCAGCCTCCTGCAGGAAACTTGCAGAAACACGCCACCAAAACGCTGGCATTGTTGCTAGTGTTGGCCACTTGGCCTAGTGCCGACGTTTGCCAGCAGCAGAAACAGCATCGATTTGGTGAATCTAGTGCTGGTGTCTAAAGGGCCATCGTCATATTCCGCAGCCGCGCCTCACGCTCGAAGTTTGCCAAGGCCTGTGACATCACCTCCTGGGCCCTGTGGAGTGACCGCTCCAGTCGAAGGTTTTCCGGAACGAACTGCATCGGCTCGCCTCGGGACACGACATCCCAGGACCAAGCTAAACCTTTCTCGCAGGACAATGAATAAACATGTCAACTTAGCTTCTCCTGCGAGGTGCTGAAGCCGTCCACATAGTAACCCCCACGCATGCAGGCCACGTCGCAGTCAAAGGACTAACGACTAATGAGGACTGCTGAAACTTCACTTCGGGCCAGCACACTGTGGAAAAGGATACGTTCAGCAGCAGACCACAGAACCCACGACAGCGCACGCAATGGAAAGCATCAAACCCTAAGCGTGGGTGAATGTCCTGACCCGTTAGCAGCCACCACAAGAGTATGCCAAGGCCTTCGACGGAGGTTCGACAGAACGAAAGCTTTCTAAAGGAGTCGCGGCCCCGCTTAGAATGCGGCCATAAACGTCGCTGGCTCCTGGCACCATGAGACCACGGAGGACCTCCGGCGGCGTGGCAGCCAGGTTGCCAGGGAAAGCCTCTTCAACACAAACCGCAGAGCGGGGACGGAGAGGGTTCTGAGCTCAGGTCGCCTCCACATCATAGCAGCAGCCATAAACATCAATGGTGTTCGGCCGCCTGCTTCGGCTAGCTGGCTGCACGGGCCTATCAGTTCAGCTTCAGCCACAGCCGCTCGATCTCCTCGACCAGACGCCGAATCGACAGCGGATACCTGGAATTGCAGTGCCACTATGTAAACCCTGTAGGCAACTACAGGGCTGCGGGCACAACCTGAATTCGCCTCACCAGATCCTATATCCATCTCTGCGACTGCGTGGCGAATAGCGTGCACAGCACGGGAAGCGCCGATGGTGGACGTAGCGCGCCCCTGGAAGGTGCAGGCATCTGCCGACTGCTCTGCTATGCCCCTCGCATGAAGGGAACACTCCAATCGAACAAGCCACAGAAGACAAGCCGAAACAAACAAGAGCCAAGCAAGAGACATCACTCATCTTATTTTTCCTACTGCTACTTGGTTATCACCATTATCGTCACAATGCTGCCAATATTGCCCTTGCTAGTGATTACATGCTCAAGTGCGTCTCTGCGGCGGAATCGCTCCAGGGGTTGACAGGCCGCGGCCCTCTGCGCTGTGCTCACCAGCAAGGAGTTGCCAAAATCCTCTGGGCGAGGAAGCGGAAGAGAGATTGAGAGAACAGGAAGAGAGAGGGGAGGGAGAGCGAGAGACAAAGGGGCACGGCCGCTTTTTTGCGGCCCCCTTAGCAGCCTCAATTCTTCCAGGCATCTACCAGCCGAGCGCGACCGTCTGCATCCAGACAGCAGTTGCCAGCAGAGATGTCTGCATGGATTATTCCATTGAGGCGCAGGAGCTTCACCTAAGCATTTGTGGCAACAGGCCCCCAACATCTGATGTTGCAGACGAGGTGCGGCATGAAGTAGCTGGTTGATGATGTCGCATCGCGATGGTAGATCCAAGCTTTCCATCCGAATTGACTCCAGGGGCTGGCCCGCATGCTCCAGCACCAGCATCAGCTCGGAGTTCGCTTCCGCATCCTGCCGCAAATCCCTGGCCTCTGCGAGGAAGATCGGCTGCGAGGAGAGCAATGCGACGACGTGCCCCCGGCCCTTGTGTTGGGGGCCTGAAGACAGGCGATCACCCACCGCCTCGGTACACAGGCATCGCAATTACTAGTGAGCCTTTTCCATTCATGCCTATGTGCTTGCGAGTAGCTTTCTCCTTCTCCCACTGCTTCCTGTGCTGTCCTCTTCAAGCAGGCCGAGTTTGGCTCCGACTGTGACAACCCTCCAAGACTTACTGCGCTACCACAGATTGCCCGGCATGTCCTAGCAAAGATTGCCCGAAAAAAGCGGCAACGGCCGCACTGACTTTTGGGAAGTGCTTCAGCACAGCAAGGTCTCCGAAGCTCCTGGCAAAGACAGTTTTGCATTGCACCGTGTTGCACGATCAAGCAATCAATTCTGAGACCACCAGATGAACGCCGACACATAAGAACCCCCAAGAACCCAAGAATACTGCATGTAGAGACCGTTCGAAGGTCAAGCTTGAACAGCTTCCCGGGTTTGCAAGACGCGACAGAAACACTGCAGAAATGCGCCGGCATGGCTGTGGAGGGGAAAGCTGCAGCTCCCACACTGATGCAAACGTGCCGCTGCCGAGGTGTCGGCCTCTTGTCTTAGGCTCAGTCTGAGACGAACATCGGGGTGTTTGTCAACTGCTGGGCTCCTGCAGTGGCACGCACCCAGCCGTCTGGCCCAGCAAAGTGCAATGCAGCGCCCGCCTGCAGCAAAGCCTGTGTTGGATCGAGGTGCGCGCCCCCTCCCTCAATCCCAACAGGTTTCAACGATGTTCTCCGCCTGTGCGGCCGAAGCGGCCTGCAAGACTCGCTGCAAGACTCAGCAAGAAACCGCAACGTGGGCACCACATGAAAACTTTGTTGGTCCATGGTATGACCTCACTGCACGTGCTGCGTCTGCCAGGCAGGCGGCATGGCAGAGCACGCCACATCTTGCTTGGACATGGGGTGCAGCTGTACTTGTACTTGTTTGGAAGGCTTCGGTCTTCCAAACGGGGGACTACTCTGAAAGATGTATGAAAACAAGACTGTTCAACAACACCGGCATCTACACTAGTCACTAGCTTGGCTCTGCCCTCAAGAACTCTGCGAAGCATGTCCCATGCACCACTTGCGGCAGGAAAAACTCCTGAGCACATGGCTTTGTGACGGCATCATGTGTGTCGTACAGCCATCTGTGGCTGACATCTTGGGCAATGCGACTTTGCCACATCATTGCTGAATCCCCCAGCTGAGAGGTTCTGAAATACGGAACCCAAAAACGGCAACCCATAGTAAGTCCTAGTACGACTCTTAACTCAAGGACTGCAAAACGGGACCCTTATAATTCCATTACAGCACCACGTGCTCACGAATCAACACTACGACCCAGCTAGCCGAGGCGGTTGCCGTCTGGATCTCTAGGGCGCTCTGCTTCGTCAAGCCTCTCCTCTGGAGCCAAAGGGCTTTGGTCGGAGATTAATAATGTGTCGGCTCTCAGGCAGGCGAGGTACGTACGGCGGTTCGGGTCAGCTCTGTCGTTTCTTTTTGGACGGCCCTATCCAACTCACATGCAGCACGACGCCAAGTACCTCTTTCAAGTGTGTGAATAAACATCAAAGGAGCTGTGAGGAGCGCCTGGGGCATGTTGGCAGCATTAAATGTCTCCAAAGTCAGCTCTGTCTAGGTCATTGAAACCAAGGCAGGCAGACTCAGGCGGAGGCGAGACTCTTGTTGGGGCCAGACAAGACAAGAGAACACAGGGGCAGGAACGGTGCAGTTCGTGCTAGCCTTCATGCACCCCACCTCCAAAAGGAGACATGCCAGCTGAAGGAACCACTTGTGTTAGTCCTGACAACCCCCGACAAAATCCTTGGAATGTCGAGCCCTCGCCCGAAGCCTGCATGCCCCTCGGCCAGTCAGCAGCTAGCAGAACGTCGATCGTGGAGGCTCGCTCGGCAACCTCAATGATTGTGTGGTCGTTCAGCCGTCAGCTCAAGTACTGTACTTCTCCAGTCTTGAGGTAGGTGTAGCCGTGTTTTCTACAGTATAGACACCTGCATCAAGGCGGGTTTTGTTTTGCTGGCACCCCGGTGGAATTTCAGGCCTGCTCCGAAGACTCTCTCCTCTTTCACAGGGCCATCCAAGGACGTAAAGTTCGAGGTCCAAAGGTTCCCGAGCACCCTCAGGATCTCTAAAGGTGCAAGACTTTCTGCCAGGAACCCCCCCTCTGAGCCCGACACCAGCTTGATCAGCCGCTTCACCGCTGCCGACGTGTAGGCCTTTAGGGGTTTAGGGTTTAGGGTTTAGGGGCCTTAAGTCTCGGCTTGCTAGAATTTAGATTTAGGGTTTAGGGTCTTACGAGGCTGCAGGTGTCGACGAAATGGACGGTGAAAGAGACGCCCCTACCCCAAGAAGCCAACAAAACCATAGTTCCAAGGCCCCGGCAGTTCCAACAAAGTTGGGACTGTCATCCATTACCTCTGGCAGCTGCTGGCACGTTCTGGCTTCTCTTTCTTCTCAGCTCTTTGCCTGCTATTATTTTGCGCAGACAGTCAGACAGTCCACGAAAATGTCCACACATGCTGATAGCATGGATCAAGCGAAGATTGCTGCTTCACGTAGCAGGAAACAAGTTCAGAACTTTGGGGATATGGGTGATTTTAATCGAAATCCGGGACCACGCGGCAAAGCATCGAAGCCACGAAAGGAGTTCTGAGGCTCCATCCGGTTTGGCGAACGTGGCTGCGTCGTAGCTCCTTAAGCAAGTACTGATGACAACGCGACGACTGGTCGGCAGAACACAGGGGTTGAGGTCGCTTTTGGCCTCGCTCGCCAGATGCTCCCATTTCTCAAAGAGTGGCTGTCGGCTTCCAGACTTTGAGAAGCACGACTGTTGCCACCACCCTGGAGGGTCACGCCATAGTTAGCGTGCAATAAGCGTTCGTCACAAGGAGCCTGACATGCGAACAGCACTGCTGCGAACCGGAAGTGTCACGTGCGAGGGGTGCTCGTGGTCAGCGAAGACGGTGACTGTCGCGGGTGGCCCGACCTACGGCAGCATGTTGAGTTGGGGGTCTTTACGTTGCGAATTCCACGACCTCGGCTCTACAAAAGGGCCCCCTGACTTCCTCAGGGTTGATCTCAGTCGAGAGTGAGCGAAAAAGCCAACTTCGGCAAGCGAGGCAGAATCAAAGCAGAGAGGCCTCGGAGCCGCCCAGGAGCCAATCTTCTTTCTCATCTTGGAGAGGATGGCGCAGCCAGCGCGGATGGGCCGCCGAACAAACGTGCAGTCGGACGGCGTCGCCAGCGCGGAAGTGACACGCCGTCACCCCAACCGAGATGTCCACGCGACTCACCGAATCCTGTCTTTCATTGCTGTTCAGACAGATCGTAAGAGTTGCAGAGTTACAGCTCACCCTCTGGCCTTCTGAAACTTCACTCGGACGATGTCTTCGCACAAGTTCACCTGAGGATTGCTTCCAGATTCGGCACTGCAAAGTGGGCTTCTCAGTCAGGCGAGTCACGGAAGACCCACGACTCAAGCCACGGGGGTCCAGGATGCGGTCAAGAAAGCCAGGCTCGGACGACCCCCAGCCACTTGATGGCTCACGGACTGCGCAAAGCCGCACAATGATGTCACATTCTGGTGCCGCGCAGCTGACGTACCTCAGATTCGAGCTTGCAAGCCCTACACGGACTTCTCTCACCGCGCCAAGTAGATTGTAGACCCAAGGTTGGGTGGAAGACTGGCATTATCTAGCAAAAAGGCAGGTGAGTAGCAGCGTTGCAGAGACCTCGCCGACGATCTCCAGGGACTGCTGCAATGGAGCAGAGGTGAGAACGAGCACGTCTCGCAACCGAGAGCTTTCGAAAGATCTCTGGTCCTGAGCCCCGTCTTTCTGGAGGTTGAGCCAGCCATCGCCAGCGTAGGGCGTAGGATCTTTGGGATCATAAACATATGACAATGCACCTGCTTCCCTGCCTGGACCACCTGGAAGCAGCAAGCCCGTGCCCAAGCCAGCATCCTTCTCCTGGAAAAAGAACTGCATGGGCTTGGAGGGCGGCGGCCAAACGTCGCACTCTAGCCATGCTTCCTCCCCGTCCGCATCCTCCTGGATAAGTTGCATGCGCACTGCCGCGCGCGAAGCTGCGCCGCTCGTGCCGATCAAGTTTTGGCGGTACCACTGCCGCGTACTTTCCGCAACCTTTGCTCCATGATTCACCACCACACCGAAGTGGCCTCCGGTGAAGATTGTCAATCTTGCCGCTCCGTTCGTGGCTTGGGTGGCTAGCTGAAAGTCTTGCAGACTTTGAGCTAGAAACATGTCATTCCAACCAGCGATCACATGGATGCTTGGAGGCTCCCGGAAATCCGCAAAGTGACACTGCACGTCCCGACCTTCTGCCCAAAATGGATCTGCCGCACCGCGCGCGGTCTGGCCGCCACGCCAGAGAACGTTGGGTCGACCCCAGAGATCCGAATCCGCTTCGCTCACCGGTCGTTTCGCCAGAGCTGAATCAAGACCTGGCCAATCCTCCAAAGAGAAGAAGCGAAACATGTTCCACAAGAAGCCAAAGCCGCCCTGGCGATCTTGTCGCAAGCCCACTTCCGCCAGCCAGATGAAGCGCAAAGCCAGCTCTGCAGCCAGACTCTGTCCATTGACAAAGACCGTCGGATGGATGCGGGAGAAGGAGATGACGGGAACCAAGGCACAAACTAGAGGACGATCCTTCGGGGCATCTTTAGCGTGTGATGCCGCCAGCGTGGCATAGGATGTATTCCCAAGGAGGCTGTAGCCATGGCAGCCGACTCGACCATTGCACCAGGTCTGCTGACCCAGCCAATCCAGCACGACGGCCGCGTCAGCTTGCCATCTCTGAAAAACCAGGTCAGCCACCTCCTCAATGGGCCCGGTCGCTCGCCAGATAATGTAGGCACAATCTAAAGAAATATACCTTGGGCCTTCAGCCTTTTCCAGCGTCTCGGCCAGGGCATAATAGCAGCCCACGTTCACAAGCACCGCGGGGACCCGGCGCTCCAAGGCTACGGTTGGCTTCAGCACCACAACCTCGACGCTGCCATAAGGGGTTTTCAAATCCAGCTGCTGCCGGAGAACTCCTGCAACCAGCAGGGAACATGCATCGTGATCGACGGTTTACGCTCTCAAACCTCGGACTAGCCTCGTGGTCGACGGTTTAGGGTTTAGGGTTTAGGGTCGGCCTTGGTCTTGCGCCGTCGCACGCAGCCGCGTCCGCCCTTTGCCGCCTGCGAGCTGCCTGAGCCTCCTGAATCCTTAGATTCCCAGAGAGCCCAATACCCCTTAATCAAGGAATATGCCTTAAATTATAGGGGCCTTTAATATTATGTGTTGAGGTATATTCCTTAATTAAGGGGTAGTGGGCTCTCTGGGTTCAAGAACACAAAGGGGCCACTTTGGGGGCACAGCTTGGGGCACAGCGCAGCCGAGGCGCGATGGCCGAGCACAAAGGTGGCCAGGACATAGGGGCGAACCCGAGAATCTTCGCCCCAACGAGGGACCTGATGCTTCGTAGGTCGAAGAAAAGCGCCTCCTGTAAAAAGAGAAAGCCTGAGAAAAAAAATCGGTTTGAGCTCAGTGGCGCGAGAGGAGCCGACGACACCGGCTCGGCGAGCCCAGGCGACGCGTGGTGTCCAGGTGATGGGCCGGAGCAGTTTCACATGGGAAGCTTGAAGCATTCGGCGGTTTCTGCCCAAGGTATCACGGCAAAGCGTCACTCGAAACCTGCCAGGACCTACCAAAGCTGAATGCTTGATCCCAGGTGTTAGCTGTCTTTTGCTTGCTTTGTTTTGACACCTTTGTTCAAAAACTTCGCATCTCCAAACAGACTCTACATGTCGTCTGTTGCGCGGTCTCTACCACCTCCACAGGCTGGGCTTCAGATGTCAAAGTCTCTGCCAAAGCAAGCAGGCTTCGGGAGCTGAACTGGGGTCCCGGCCCCGACAAGTAAGCGACCGTCAGCCCATGGATTTCGCGAATCTGCGCAGGGAATTCAGGGAATCCCTTGCTCCGCTCTGGCCTGCGGGCGATGATCTCTGGCCCCGCGCACCCCGAAACCGCCCAGGAAATTGAGGTTCCTGCAAGTTGTTTTTCTACTTTCCCGCTCTTCCGAGATGTTGCGAAAACGTCTGAGGCGGCGGCTCGCAAAGTTGCTTGCCCTCGGGAGCGGCCTGCATGCAACACCCTCTCCAAAGTCCAGGTATGTCCAGGTGACTTGGGAGCGCCGTGACTTGGCTGCCCTAAACCCTAAACCCTAATGTTGGTATCTGCTTGCGTGCACATGAAAAAAGGCACTGAGCCTGCAGGAAGGCGGCGCTCTGGCTATCTATAAAGTAGGTGTCGATGGGAACCTGCGGTTCCGAAAGAAAGAGTGGCTCCGAGAGGCCTTGCGAGGGATGCCATAAGAGCACCTTTCGGCCGCCCGAAACAAACTCCGCCAATCCAGCGGCCGCCTCTTTGCGCAGGGCATGGGGGCGATGTCTCTTTGAAGGCAAAAAAAAGGAGCAGCCACGTCTCCTCTTTGTCTCCAACCGTTGGCAAAAACCTGGGCTTTGCAAACGGACGTCCATCAGCTGCAGTGCTTCGCAACTCAGGGGAGCACGCGCCCACAGCAAAAAGAGCGGTGAACTGGCCAACTTTCTTCTGCTGTGTTTCCACCTGCATGGCCACACTGCATGGTTGCCTTGAGCTCCCCACACACGCACAGAGACAGCTGCAGTGCCACTACGCACTTTTTCATCCCTGCACTACTGTGCGGCTCCAAGCAGTCGGTCGATCAGGTCGCTCTTCTCCAGGCAGCCATCGGTCGAGAGTCCGGCTTCCTTCAGTCGGGCCTTCAGCTCCTTCAAAGGCAGCAGCTGGAGCTCTTCGCGGCTTCCCCTCGCTGGCGCGAGAAGCAGGCGACTTGATAGACTTAACAAAAACAAACCTTGCTCTCACTTGGGTTCTTTAGAGACGGCCACCAAAATCCAACAGCTTTCCCATGGAGCTGGGCCATGGCACACCGCCTTTCCATCGCCATCAAGGCCCAGCTTGTGCCGGCCCACAGCGGAGACCACGGAAGCAAAGGCAGAGGCTGCAGCGGATGGCCCCCCTTCGCCGGGTGTCTCCATCGCCAGGAGCAGCTTCATTCCATCCCACACGGCCTCTCCTTCTTGCAGCTCCTCTCCAGATTCGGCGTCAAAAATCCGGAGGTTTGCCAGCCTTGAACACTCGCGTGCACATGTTGGGCAACACTCGCTGACTGTTTTGAAACTTGCACTGCAAGCCAAGTGGCGCTGCAACAGCGTGGCAAAAGGGGATGTTCTGCCAAAGCTTGTCAATAGCCCGATTCTTCGCATAGCCCAGGTCCTTGCCTGCCGGGACATCAACATCAGTCGCCAGGCCGCGCGTCATGACGGTCAGGAGAGTCGCCTCATCCTCAGAGACCGCGAAAGATAGCTTGGGCATGGGCGCGGCTGATGCCCGTCTACACAGGGCAAAAGTTCAGCTTTAACACAAGAAATTCGCATATCTTGCGAATGAAGAGCCAGCGTTGTGGCCTGTTCTGCGTACTGTGCCGATAGCTGGAGCCGAAACGAGGGAAGGGCGGAGCATGGCGGTAGGTAGCGGTTACTGCACAGACAGTGCGCGGGCATCCTGCAGCAACAGCGAGTATGCTTTCCCGCCTGTGCATAAAGCTTTGTCAAGTTACCTTCTGCATCACCAACCAGCAGCACACGACGACGGTCGTCCATCGAAGGAGCTTTCTTATCTTTGTGGAACGAATTCTGGAGCCTTTTACACATCTGGATTTGCCTTGTTGCGACACGGGTTCCATGATAGTGCCTGCAAACGGTCGAGCCCCGCTCTGTTGCCTGTGTTTCTTTATGCTTGTCTTCTGCTGCTGCACTGGTGTCCTAATCCCAGCGGCTTAATAACTTTGAAAGAGATTTGTGTCGAAGCCAAACAACGCAGCACGGCACAAGCAGCTCGATGTAGCTTTGGGTGAGCTATGCGTACCGCCTCACAGCCTCGGCTCTACGATATCTGCACAGAGACTCTCACGCTCAGGCGGACTCAGGCTGAATTACTTGGACTTTGCCTGGGCTAGGCGGCACCTTTAGTCGCGCATCAGAGATCCAGTTTCTCGAGCTGTTCACCGAACTCCTCCTTCGACAATGCGCAGAGTTCGGCAATGGTTCCCTCCAGGGCGTTGAAGGCAGCATTCTTGTGCGCAGCTGCACGGCCCTTGGCAAGGCCGCCGACATCTGCGCCTGTACACATTAGGCACCAGAACTTGCCGGACTTTGCGCGGAGTCCCCCGAAAACCACCTGATCATCTCGGATGCAAGACAGGAGCTCAGAGCCAGAATCGGACCCTGAGGCCATCAGCTTCAGCTTGCTTTTCCCTTCGTAGGTCATGAGAAGCCAAGTAGTCTCACCATTGCGAACTCTCGACCAAGCCTCCTGAACTTCGGGGTCAATGTCAAGCCCCGAGGATACCTTGATCCCTCCATCTGTTCGGAACAAGCCCCCACCGCCTGCATCCATGCTGGGCACAGATGGCGTAGCTCGGCTATTCGCTTCTGGCATCTTATGTCCGTCAGTTGTACTAGTAACTGGTAAAGTAGCTGCAGCATGGGGGGCTCTGAACGCTTCATTTATCGCATGACATGCCTGGGCAAGCCACTCTAAGTCTGTGAACCAGGAGCTGCTAAGCATGCAGAGGGAGGCTTTGGGCTTCTGCAAGCCAGGTAGGGCACCGATGATTTGCGCAAGCCTCCAGATTCTCCAAACACAGATCGCAGCGTCCCAGCACCGAAGCACAGAGGCTTTTTTTCATGGACAGAAGTGACAGAAGATCGATTTTCAATGGCATCTAGACGCACGATCAGGTTCTAAAAGGCGCCGTACATCTAGAAGCACAATCCCGCTCTACAGGGTGCCGCGCACCTTGAACTACAATCACGCTCCACATGCCGCGCATCTGGAAGTACAATCACGCTTCAAAGGTGCCACGGAACACCCGTAGAGGCCCGGCAGGTGACAAAGGAGCCATTCTAGGCCTTTTGCTCATCAAGATGCCTTGACAAATGCCGCCTTGGGGCCCTATAGCCTCTGACCCAACACATGTGTGAGGTGAGAGCGGCGAAGGACCTCGGCAGCTACACAGACGGAAGAAGCCGTCCACGGACTGTGCCGGTGTTAACTCCTCTCCGGCAAGTCAACTTAAACCCGGACCAGGTTGAAGATCGGCTGGTGTTTTCAGCACATGCACGTGACAGCCTTTCAGGGATAGACAGTCATCATCAATACCCACATCGACAGCCCACAGAAGCAACTCATTTACGTGACATCTTCGGATATCTTGCGAGGGAAGGCAATAGCCGGAGTGCATGCAGCATAGCACACACAGCTCGAGACTAACGGGCGACGGTTGCCGATTGCATTTCAAAACCCGACCCTGGCAGTTCTCGATAACCTGCCCAGTGCTTCCAAAAGTCTCGGCAACCGAGCACCCCTTCAAAAAACCCAATGACACATAGATTTAGGCCAGATCCCACACAGTAAGTCTGGACGGCCTGCGTTTGACCTCGTGCCAACCCTCAGACATAACTCAAACATCAATGGATGAAGACAGCTGAAAATGATGGCTAAAGAAGGATGCAACGGTTGTCAGGTCCTAGCTGGGTCTTCGGGGGGCATGTACGGTCCACAGGGGCCTTGCCCGGCACTTGGTAGTGCGGAAACGAAAAGCTCGGAAGGGTCCCGGCTCTCTGAATCAGCCTGTGCGGAGAGCCTTCTCCGTTCGGAAATCGGGAAAACGTGGAACCAAAGATTTTCGGCCTTGAGACATCTGGCCGCAGTGCCTGGCACCCTTGCTGCATCCGGAATGACTACCAAGAACCTTCAACAAGCTCAAGGGTGCTCATGGCATCAAAAAGTTTGCTTTGCCAGCCGTACCACAGGCAGACCGCTTTGGCTATACAGTGGCCAGACAAAATTTCAAAGTGCTCACTGATGTGATGTTCCAAAGTCGGCCGAGGCCATTCCTGAAGGGCAGCAGAGGACTCGGTTCTGAAGCTGGGTCCCTGGACGCCAGTTCAAGATTCGAAGGACTTGCATCCGCGTTCACGGTCTTATTGCGCATCTGAAACACCCCCACAACTTCAGACCCTTGTGCCGCATCTACGGACTGCTCAGGTTTGGGGCAAGGACAAAGAAGGGCCTACATCTGCCAATGGTGCATCCAAACACTCACCGCTGCCTCCTGTGCGATAGAAACCGTGCAGTCTTTGTGCTTGGTGGGAAGTCTAAACGATGCTCTGATTTGCAACGCTCCTACCGACCTCGACAACCCTCCACTGATCACAGACTTTTCCGCACGTGACTCAAACAGGGCGTCTGTATTGCTAGTCTTCGCACTTTGTAGTCAAGCAGAGCTGAACTGGCCGAAGCTTGTTGCAAGAACTACCTGTTGTTAAACTCTACGCGCATGCTCTCTTTCGGCTTCTTCTTTGCTGCTGTCCAAGCCACGATTTTTAAACCACTTATCGAACAGGCGCCGGTGGCCTACCTGCCACAGTCAGCATTGCAAGGCAAAGGCCGCGACACCACAGAAAGCTGACACAAAACTAGGGACACGGCCTTGTCGATCTTTAGGTCATGAAAGAAGAGCCTCATAGCAAGGCCCTAGGTCAAGGCTTCGTTGCAAGCGGTCTCTTTAGCTATGTCTCAGATGGCAGAGATTGAGTGTGAAAGCAAGCGAGCCGGGAGCAACTGGTCTAGCATCCAGTGTCCGTCTGATCGTCGAACCGTGTACAGGCCGAGGATCTGCACAGAAAGTCGCCCGGAACAACACAGCCTATGCCCAGGCCACGTCCTGTACCCCTCGTGATGAAACTGCTGGGATTTGAGGGGTCTGTCGCTGCTGACATGCACAGGCCTGCTCCAAGCTGTCGAAATGCGCCAACAGGCGGGCCCTGTACCTCTGACACGGTTGCAGGCTCCGCCTTTCAAAAAGGCCACCCACGGGCCACGGAATTGATTCGCCTGCTCTTTTGACCGTCTCTGCTGCACAACGGGTACAACGGTTATGGGTCCGAGTCTGCAAGGAGAGCCTCAGATAGCCTCAGCATGTGTGGCGAAGCTTCTTCGGGTCACGGGCTGAGGCTGGCAGGATTCAAGACTTCACTCGAGGCAGCCAAGTGCCACTCATCCGATTCCAGCACTGACCGTACTAAAAAAAAACACAAGAAGGAGCCCAAACCCTAATACGCGCGGCGCTGCGGAACTCGGGGGGCACTGGTGGAGCGCGCCCTTTCCTTGGTCGACGTCCTCCAGCCAGTCGCTGAGGCTCAAAGATCTCCAGGAGGCCTCAAGGCATCGCAGGAGGGCGCAGGGCCTTTGGGGGCGGGGGGAGGGGATTGCATGGCATGGGCGGCCGGCAGCTCTTTCTCCAGCTCGGAACCTGCTGTCGCACCGCAGGGGTATATCCCTCGTCCCTGAAGACGCAGTCTCAGCGTCTGGCCGCTGTGCTTCGGGTTTTGGTGGCTGCAGATTCGGCCCCTCCGAGCTCGAGTTGCCCTGCCAGGGCTCCACTTCGAGCGTTGCATAGGGAGCAGCATGTCCGCAGCGAGTGACGCCAGCCTTGGGCTTGCCCTCTGGATCTGGTCGCACGGCTTGCCGCACCTCGCGGCACACTTTCGCAGGAATTGGCGTCGCCTCGACGGAAACTCTGAACACAAAGACCGAAGGAGTCTCCGGAGTACCGCTCCTCGCGCTCCATGTGTTTCCAGGGAGGCTTCTCTCTTTAAGGATGTGTGGTTCCTGCGTGTTCCCACCAACGCAATGTGGCATTGAGAAAGCAAAAGCATGGGGCCGGGGATGGCTGTGAGGCAAAGTGATATACCTCCCATAGACCGACAGCGGACACAACTCACAATCACAGAGATTCACAGAGCCCAGACTCTACGGCTTGGACAGCTGAGTTCGCAGCTGCATCAGAAGCAGCAAACCTTGCATCAGAAGCGTGCCAACCCACCCCACTGCCGCAAAGTTTCGGCCAAGCAGCTGGAAACGCTGCAGAGTCGCAGCGTTTCTGTGGCCTGGCGCGGCCCCCCAAATCTACGGTGAATTTGACAACAAAGCCGAGCCCTTGAAGCAAAGGCTGGAGGCGGCACAGCTGAGCCGGTGACTGACATCGTGGCAGCAGCCACATCTGTCTCCGAAGTGGCAGTGGTTGTGGACAACGAAAAACACACAAGGGACACCTAAGCTGTCGGATATTGAAAGATTCTCAATGTTTCTCAAAACACACAAAGCCTCGCCACATGCGGCAGATGCCTACTCGGGTCCAGGCACGTCCCACGCGCATGCCTTCTTACAGAAGCTGTAGGTTGCTCCCTGGCACAAACAAGGTTTGCATCGAGTTTCCATGGAGAATAGCCGGCAAAAACTTGAAAAACCCGAAACCCCAAACCGGTGCTCCCATGGACTGCGGCTGTCATGCGTGACTCTGCAGATTTTCGGCCACCTAACGAACTGCTCCCTGCTTGCATATGGCTTGTGACACGACAAGACTGAGTCGAGTTGATGGATGTTCCGGAGTTCTTCGTGTTGGATTGCTGGCTGGGCAATGTCAACATCGTGGTATGGCTGCATTGTCTTTCATGTGTCTCGCTTGTCGATATGATGGTTGCTCTGCTGTTGTGGGTTCGTGCCCCGATCTCACGAGGTTAATCTTGAAGGCTTGTCGCTCTCAACGACGATCGCAGGGGACAGTCCGAAACTCGTCAATGACCCACCTCTGCAGCTCGGACCATCGGCAGCACTTGCTTGAAGCGCCCCATCCGAGGATAAGTGCGATGATGATGGTGATGATGACACAGTGAATTGAATTGGAGGGAGGGACTACTCGCCGGTGGTCTCTGGGCATAAACCCATGGTGCCAGACCCCATCTCCCGTGGCAATCTTTACAGATGTGTGTGCATGGCCTCCATTCCTGCACCGTTGAACATGATTTGGCCATGCACGCCAACACCAAAATCTATCCCTAAGCTACCACCTTGCTTCCTAGTGCAAAGTCTTGAAGGACATCCTGTTGAAAACTCTCGCGTGGAACCCCAGTAGCTGCATTGCCTCAAGGACCAGTGCTCTGGCCTCAGCTCTTGGCATGGGCAGATCTACTCAAGACTCCGCGGCTTGGAACGGACGTTGCGATAAAGACAAATATTACAGTATACGCCTACGTGGAGGGACCACAAATCCCCGAACTTACTGAAATGCCCTTGGGCGAGCTCTATTCTAACCAAGTGCCCATCACAGCTTCACACCGCTCTGAGACTCAAAAACTGCTGCCAAAGGTCTGGCCCAGAGCGAGCGAAAGCATCCGCTCGGGGGTTGGCGCCTTCAGCACTTGGAGATCTCGGAGGTCTTGGGGGGAACTCGGCTGAAGGCCCCAGGCGGCCCCCAACACATCCTCATGAAGAGCGCGGTCTTGCGAAGACGATTCATACCCCTCAGCCCAAGCAGCATTGCCACATCAAGCAGGGGCCCGGTGCTGCGGATTCCAAGCTCTACGTCAGCTTGGCTTTCACATCTGACGAGACGAGGTCGCTGCCGCACTCGAAGTGGGAAAGCTGCCTGCATAGGGCGCCTGAGTGCTGACACGTTCCGCAACCTCCAGGAATGTCCCAGCTGGAAACGACAGCTGTAAGTGCGAGCCTGGCTTGCTTCGGCTTCGGTACTTGAGGCTGTGCTCCCTGCCAACACAGATCATCCCAGTGTAGTCATCTGAAATATCGAACCACGTGCAGCGGATTGGCTGGTACAACGATGCAGGGACCCGGGGAAGTGGGTCC